TATTTAAGAATGTTGTTTTTGTCTGATTGAGTTGGATATAAAAAAAGAAGTCTGTAGCTGTCAATAATTGGCGGTTTTTGTCTATCGATTTATACATAATATATAGTAATTTACACGGATTTTTCATGTAATTACTGCACAATATTTATAATCGTAATTATAAAAAAGTAATTAGGCTGAATTTATGCTGTAGGGGGTTGAATTTTTAACCTTATTTGCTCCTTGTTTAGGTTCAAATTTATACGATAAGCTCCATATAATATGTTGATCATCGATTTATTTATATAATTTATATAAAATGCATATAAAGTAGAGCTAATTTGATAGATCACATTTGACATCTGTTTTACCTTAATAGTGAGGTGAACTGCAAAATATCGATTAAAATGTATCGATACGGATTTTACAAATTGTGAATTGAATTCAGGTATTAATAAAATCGATGTTTTTTTAATACTTCTAGTATTTAAAAAAATAACTGATTCTCTGACGGAACATTGTTAGGACGTTCGATGGTCATTATTACAGTAATTATAAGATGATTTAAATATAATGGTTTTTTTCCCGCTGTTACAAGGTTACGTAATCGATGTGGTGTCAAGTGTGATATATTAAAAGTGGGTTTCTGAGACCAAAATATCTGTATAAAACGTATCTTTGACAAAACTGACGTGTTTTAATTGGAGATTTTGGTCTCAGAAACCCACGGTTGGCTCTACAATAGTTACCACTGTTTGATAGTAAGGGTGGAATTATATTAGCTTTTTATGTATTCAAGAAATAATACTCCTTGTATATAAATTGAACATTTTAAGGTGAATGTATGCAGTTAGAAAGTATAGTTTCACCTTTAACGGAAAAAAAACTAAATTGGAGTTTGCTTTTTATTTTTTTTGAACGGTGCCATATTTTATGATTTATTTTAGAAATCTCGCATTTTTAAATTGTATATTTTTTTTTAAAGAATTTGAATTATTGCTTTTAAGATTGGTTTTGTTTCGCTTGTTTTTTTTAGCTTCTTCGAGTCAATTATGGTGCGACCCAGTTATTTTGAAATATTGATTACATTGTGGGGATATGATACATCGTACTGACTCTTTCTCGCTCATGTATATGCTTTATACTTGTCTCGCTCGACTGATCCCCTCAATGTAATAGGTTTAAGAAGGAATGTTCCGTGATTCAACATCGTGCGTAAAATATAAACGGTTGAATAGATCAAGTATGAGTTTACAATGAAAATATTAAATGGATAAAAATATTAGTTTCGTTTTATTTTTCTTATTTTTCCCTCTCCCATTTAAACAACAAAGGACTTTATTTATCCGATTGTAGTTGATCTGGTTGGTCTAAGAAAATTATAAATAGTCGGTACAGTAAGTGCAACCATGACCATATGTAGATAATAAAAAAACAGACGTTTTCCTTTCCACATTTAAAGGTTTATAACATCGTGATGCAACCTGCACATATCTGAGAAGAAATTCAAAGATATGTGTGAAGTCAACCAACCCGCACTTGGCCAGCGTGGTTGACTATGGCCTAATCACCCTCAACTTAGGGTAGGCTCGAGCCCCTCGGTGAGGACGTATAGTGAGGTGATGATGATGAATGGTGCAAAATCTTATAGTCCCTTTGCTTTCATAAATTTCATATTTTGTGATTCCATGATACGATTTTTAAATGTTAAATAGTTCACAGCAGAAACAATAAAAAGCATTAATCGTTGGTTTCTGAGACCAAAAATTTTATCTGTTTTGTTAAAGTAGTGAAGATGACGATTTGAACAGGGATTTTATATCCGTAAATGTACACAAAATGTATTGACAATGCAAAGCTAAGTGTTTTCGCACAATATTGTTGGCTTGTGTTCAGTGAAGCTGAGGGCTCACCGCATCGAGTTCGATTCATTGACTCGTGAGGAATCGATTACCGTCTGCGCACGGCTTTCCTCGCATTCAGCATGACTGGCCGTTCAAATGTACAATACAAACAAGGCTTTTTGTTTGTTAAAATAAGTGATTGCGCTATATCTATACCTGAGTATTGTGTTTCGATTTCTTCTTTTAGAACTTTGTAGATAAAACGATAGTGTTCCACTCGCTGTTTGATTCTATCCTATTTTAGTAAAGTTTCTCTGATATTAGAAGTTATAAACCAACATTTTTAGAAGTATTTTGGAAATCACTTTCCTGATAACATTTTTATATTCATAGGAATTTTTCAGTGCATTTCAGTTTGTTTGAAAATGGTTAATAGGAGCTCGTGTGGCACGTGACGGGCGATTAATGATCACATCTCTTCGCTAATGAAGTTGACAGGACATCTATCATTACCAAGTGGAGACTGACACATAATTGCTTGGGATATTTTACGTAAGACGTCGTCTGGAGGAAATATGAACTGATGTTTACCGTATAAATCCGATTAAGTGACGAAAATATTTTTTTCGTTCCGAAAATACTAAGTCGTAAGATGCCCATAAAAAAATAAGTTAGGGAGAAATATATTCATCATCAGCTCACTATACGTCCCCACCGAGGGGCTTGGAGCCTACCTAACCCTGCGGGTTGTACACATATCATTTGCATTTCTCAGATATGTGCAGGTTGCATCACGATGTTTTCCTTCACCGTAAGAACTTCGGATAAATGTACATATGTAAATCGGAAATCGAAAAACACATTGTTACATGGCGCGATTCGAACCCAGGACCTGCAGAGTGGAAGTCAAGTGCTTGACCCCTGAGTCACCGATGCTCAAGACCGGGAGAAACATATAACATAATAAAAAGAAGAAATAAATCATGTTATAATTAGATTACGTAACTGTTATTATGGAGGTTTACTCTTTAAAAATACTAACTGCGATTGCTTTACGATTACGTGCTCAAAGTCGTTTTAGTTTGAAGTGCCTGTCATAACTTGAAGCTAAACTAACTTAGTATATTTATAACAATAATTACTTGACAACGACTTAACGAAACTTTAATGCTCAAAGACATTTGATTTACAAAACTCAAAAGTTCAAATACTTCGGAGATTGAAGTTGTTTTTGGTTTAATAAAACTTTTTGAACTTTAATCTTACTATTATAATATTATAAATGCGAATGTTTGGGATGGATGGGTGGGTGTTGCGATGGGCTCGAAACTAGTCGGTGCCGCCACCGGACGTATATACGTGAGTGTTTAGCCGTGTTTATATATCAGATTGAACAGATCTCGATTAAATTTGGCAAACATATAGAACATAGTCTGGAAGAACACATAGGCTATTAAAATTGTTTTTTTTTTTCATTCCACGCGGTCAGAATCGCGTGCGACAGCTAGTTTTTATACATAAATCTGTTTTCCAAAGCATTTGTAAAATTCATAGCATTTATGAAATGTTAAAGAAATTTGTCGGCTTTTTCATTTTTCGCGCGAATTTGGAAGCATAAAATGTCATCCATATTGAATTTTTAATCGAGTAAGAGTCGAATGAGGGACAATGAGAGGGACGGTCGCGACGTAATTTTTTTTTCAACGACACAAAAGAGTTCGTTCATCTGTATAACTGAATAATAAATTAGAACAGACGCGATGCTGGCTATGATCTCTTTATTTATTTACGACCGAGACTTGTGGATAAACATTCATTCAAAAAGCGGTTTGGGGTAAACTAATTGAGCATATAAATAATTTTATTGTTTAAAATTTTAAACATTTCGGTTTTTGCAAAATGGTAAATTTTGGTTAATTTACAAAAACGTGTTTATACATTGACTAGCTGTCGCCAGGGCGGAATTTAAAAAAAAAACTTAATTAGTTGCTTATGTTTTCTTCCAGACTATGTTCTATATGTATGCCAAATTTCGTGGAGATCCGTTCAGCAGTTCCAGAGATACCTTCTTACCAACATCCATCCTTCCATATTAAAAATTCGAGTTTATAATATTAGTAAAATTACTAAGTTTTAGGTTTACTGGGACTGAGTATTCTTAATATGATGCATTTATTGCTCAAACAGTAATTGGTCCTGTTTAAAACATGTTTTTTTTAGAGTTAAATAACGTATTACTGTATTTCAAATTGATTTGAAAAAATTCTTCCGATGCGTCCATACCGTTATTAACATTTCAAGCGGCGATTTCAATTCTATCCGAGATGCTTTAGTCTTAGATTACGACTCGTAAAGTCCAGACAGGCTGATGCAAAACGCCGGGACCTTTCTTTAATAAAAGGAGGTCGAGCCTTTAAATTTGCATATAAATTTGATTGGGTTAAATCATCCTGATAGATACCGGGACTACTGTCTCTAATAAAATACAAATTGCTTGTTCGTTTAAATACATTTTGCACGAATTGGAGAGAAAATGTCCAGCGAACTAATCCGTTAATATATTTTTAAATTAAGGAGGATCAGCTTAGAATTGCATTTAACAGTGGTAGAGCCCGCTTTAACATCTTCGCACGAATCGGCCCGGCTCAACCGGTGAAATACCTCGACCACACAGAAGACAGGCGTCAAGTGGAAGCTATTCCGCGTTTCGTCTGATGAGTGTGCGTCCCGGAGGCCTAATTTAGTCCTCTTTCCCTTCCCATCCTTTTTCTTAGAAGGAAAGGATGGGAAGTGGAAGTGGACTTTCCGGATGAGAGGATGCATGGGAAGGGAAAATATTTTCTTTCTGTGCATCCTCTCCTCCGTCGATTAAAGGTAGGCAACGCATACGCGATTGCGCATGTCTATGGGCAACGGTCACTTCGCTATTTCAGCGATTTCGGGTGGCCGTTTGCTTGTTTGCCACCTTTTGATATAAAAAAAACTTTAGCAATTTTTTTGTAAATTTACTAATATTTCTTTTACCATTCCAACTAAGCTCTAGGCTTGTGCTAGGATATGGTTTACGACAATAGTCGAATGACGGGATTCGAACCCGTACCCTTAACCATTAGGCTATTGACGCTTAATTATTTTATAAGTCTATGGGTAGAATATTAAATGACGATAAAAAAAACATTTAACTTAACAATTCATTTTATTTTACTTCTTTTCGGCCTCCTCTTTAAGTAGTTGGAATACGAAGGAGAAGTCTTTCTGTCCGTAGCCGCGAGACTGCACGATGCGGTAGAGTTGTGTGGCGACCGCGCCCAGCGGTATGGGCGACCTGATGCCCAGCGCCATGCCACTCGCCAGCTCTAAGTCCTGGAACACGTGCGATACGGACTAATGTTTCAGTATTCAAGTATTTTACGTATTCCTTAGTGTATTTAATTGCAATTCATTCAGCTGGAAAATCCGTCTGCATAAACGTTCTTAAAAATTGGTCAACGTGTTTGGACGTTATACTTCGAAATTATGACCTCTCTTATGTAAAAAATTAGGTAAATATAATGTATATAATTAGGTAAGTGCAGATGTTGGTAGAATAATATTAATTTTAACTGCCTCACTTAGGGTTGTTGAATGTTTGGTAAATGAGTCCCTTAGTATGGAATTAGTGATGGTTACTTAGGCACATATTAAACGACTGAGTTAGCTGTTAGTTTATCTGTAGCAATATTCGTTTTTTTCTTCGTTACCTTAACCATGAGTTCGTTTTTAAATCCGCCGTCGTAGTTCCTGCTGGAGGGTGCAGTGGGCACGAGGCCGGGGACTGGACAGTACACCTCTGTCGACCAGGAGCGCGCCGAGGAGTTGTTCAGCACGTCCAGTAATACTTGAGGGTCTAGACCCATCCTGAATTATAAAGTCACAATTTGAAGGTAAAATACAATTTATAATTTCGACTAGCGCCATTTAGGTGTTCTAAATATTAACATAAATATACAATACATATTTTTAGGGTTCCGTACCTCATAGGAAAAAAACGGTACCCTTATAGATTCACTTTGTTGTCGGTTCGTCTGACTCTTTTTTTACCTTGCTGACATGAAGTGACTGACTGAAAAGATAGAATTCCAGCTATCTGGACTAGTGTAATTTGCGTATTTTTTACGCATTACGGTATTTGTAAAAAAATATTATTAAGATATATGGTGAGTAAGATATAAATCCTTAAAAACACCAAAGATCTTTCAATTTGCATACAAATATGATTGAAGCAAATCATACAGATTGATACTTTCGACTGCTCGGCGAAATAAAATTTGAATTGGCAATTTCGTTTCGGTTCGTTTTACCTTTTTTACGTCTTAAGCTTGATGGTTTCCAAGTAAATTTATTATTGACTTCGTATCTTACTGTTGATTTCCGAGACCAAAATCTCTATATAAAATATTTCATTATCTTTGACACAACTGAGATAATAATTTAAACCCAAATTTTGATCTCAAAAACCCACGGTTAGAGGTAACCACGGTTAGAGGTTTTACTACGTTCTGTTCCCAGGATTCAAAGCCTGAGTTAACTCACTTGATACCCATATTCATGCACTCAGCGGTGGCCATGCCGGTGATACCCATCAGCATATTGTTGGTCAGTTTGGCCACCTGGCCGGATCCCACATCTCCGCAGTGGAAATGCTTCGCGCCCATCGCTTGCAGCATCGGTAAAGACCGCGTGAAATCGTCTTTACGACCTCCCGCCATGAATGCTAGGGTTGCATTCTGTGCGCCCATCACACCTACAGATTTATTTCTTACGTAGTTATTTATCTTACTTAATAATGCATGATGATAAAAGGGGGCAAAGGAGCCGCAGGAACACCAAGATCATCAGCGACGCTCATGAACTGCAGACGCGTTGCCTTCAACGAGATGGTAAACTTGCTTTTTGAAGGACTTCAGATATACGTTTAAAATTGTTTGAATTCACAAGGTGACTTTTGTAAATGGAAATACTGGTTTGCATAATTTAAGTATAAGATTTTTCTTTAGGTATTGCTGTAGGAACAAAGTCACATTATTCTAGACTCTTTTCTTTTGCAGTTTGTTAATTACTATCTATTTAACAAGATTACTTTCATGTGTAAGTAATAACATTGAGTTGTTTGTCAAATTATATCTTATCAAATTGTGCTCCCTTGCCACGGTCACAGTAATGTTACATTTGTTCTGTTGATTTTTGATAAGAAACTTGACTAAATAATTGAATAACAACATTATTGTGATAGAGATATTTTCAAGACGTATTATACTTACATATATATTATTTTATAATCGAATTTTTTTTTTTTTACAACAAATTATCGCAAATATTTTATTCAAATCAAAATTTGATACTGTACCGTATAATCTGGCATGGATACGACGAAATTTAAATGTTTTTTTATCAGAAAAATACATAAGTAATTAAAAAAATCTCCTTGGTGATAACAAGTAATGATAAGGAAATGGGCGTCGTCCAAGTTCAAGAGATTAGTTATATGACAAATTTTTATCAACTATTTACTTTGGGTTTACAATTTTACTATAACTCATGTTCTTGATCTAATAAACTAACTAACTAAACTAACTAGTAAACTAACTGTTAGTCGCGACTCCGTCCGCGCGGAATTTAAAAAAAATATAATAAGTAGCCTATGTATTCTTCCAGGATATCCTGACATACCTTTAAACAAACATCCATCCATCCATCGCATTTATAATATTAGTAAGATTTCATTTATGTGTTAAGCGTTTCTATATCACAATATCGAAGATATACATACGAGTAGCTTCAATTTCTCCTACCACGATATTTGTCTAGCTCGTGTTAGTTTGTCTAGTATCATTCTATTCTTTATTTTGTTAGTTTTTTCTATCTGGTATTTTACCTCCAGAAACAGGTGCGTCAATGAAGTTAACACCATTCTCTGTTGCTACGGGGAAGATCTGTTTTGGTACATTTGGGTCTACTGTACTCGAATCGATTAGAAGAGCGCCCTTAGTTGCCTGGAAATAGTAAAGAACTGTATTAGAATAATTTACTGAATCATTCTCGTAGTTACAAATTTTATGGAGATATAAGTAAATAGTTTGAGTTAATATTAATTTTCCTATAGAAATATTACGTGAAATTACCACTAACTTGAAAATAATTGGCTCTATACAAGAGAGGAAATTAAATCTGTTTGTAGAACGAAATTCCGGTGCATCAATCTTACGTAAGTGGATTAAAGGTATAAGCTAGTTTATAATTACTTTTCTCCTTTACTTACGTGTTTGACGACTCCATCTTTGCCGAGGTACGCGTCCAACACGACTTTGTTGCTGGGCAGTATAGATACAACAACGTCGACGCCATCTACCGCCGCAGCTATTGAGTTAGCACCACTGATACCGTTCTTCGCAGCAGCGGTCAATGCGTCTTTTGAAGGATCGTAACCACGCACGTTGAAACCCTTGAAGAAAGTGTTTGTGATAAATTTACGTAAAAGGTTTTAGGCAAATGTCTTTTTTGGAACTTAATAGTTCCTTTTATGTGTATTTTGAACGTTAACTAGATTATATAAGTGTGAAGCTTTTGATGCGAATACCAATCTATATTTCTAGGTTTACCACTATTCAGAAATATCATTAAGATAGTATTTATTTCTTCTTTAGGAAAAGCCTCGTCGCTTGTAACATACTACTACTCTATTTTTCAGTTTTTTTCAAAAATTACAGTACTATGTTTTTGCGCCAGTATTTTACTATTAAAAATCCACGGTTATTTTACTATTAGTCTGTCACAAAATTAATTTAAAATCAATACAAAAACTGTAACTTTATATTATAACGAAAATATAAAAAAGCGTCATGTATAAACCGGCTGTGTTTTATTACCGCGTAATCTGACTTAAATACAATGAAAAAAAAATGATTTAATGTTATTTCGTAGCGCCAGGACCGGAGTAGACCTTTAGCTAAATGTTTCATGCAAAAAGCGCCCATCTGCACAATTTAACTTGGTATTTGCATAAATTTTAATTTTAAATTTCGTCTAATGGTGCTTTGATCAATTTTCTTAAATATTCAATAGCCAAAAAGATGGACAATCTTGGAATAACTCTAATTAGTAATTATGTCTCGTTTACCTATTTTCAGCCAACTTCAAAAAGAAGGAGGTTATTAATTCGTCTGTATTTTTTTTAATTTACGTTTTGCCAAAGGCTGCCAGTTATTATAAATACTGTTTTTTTTATTTCAACTCTTTATTATGCGTCAATCATGATAGTTACATTTATTTGTAGTATATTAAAATAATCTTGAAACAAAGATATATAATGATATTATGATGTAATTTAATAAATTCCTATCATTTACACATCTTGCCGGCTGAACGTTCGTTCTCGTACTTCTGTTTGAGTAGCTTTCTGTCTCTTTTTACTATGTAGTGATGGAAAGGGACAAACGATGTGATGTCAATTCGGTCAATGTCGTGTGATAATTAAATTGATAAATTATTGTCTAATCTCACTTTGCAGGTTCTGTTTTCGATATATTATTTGTATGTACATTAATAATTCATAAAAGAAAATTAAATATTAAACTATGTTATCAATTAAATTAAAAAATGATAATAAGAATTTATATTCGAGATAACTTTTTAAATGTAATTGGCAATGCATGTTTTATTTTAATGATTATAAAAAGTCGTGCGATTTTCAATATTTGTCAGTTTGAGATTACAATATTTTCAAATTGCGTAAACAAAATGGAAATATTAATAGTTATTAATTCGTGGAATTTAGCTGACTCATCGTTGGATGATTTTGATTAAAACATTTTTTTTTCGTTTGTTATTTCTTTTAATTTATAATATTAAATCTATCGTTATATTTAGTTTAGTAAATTTGTGACATAAATTGAAAATGATTAATTATAATCTTTTCATTTTAGATTTTTTACATTTAAAATTATTGATATAAACTTGCGATTGGTTTTTAGGTTGTTTTTAGTACTGCGACTTTAATATTATGCGACCTCATGTAATATATTTGGAGTTAATTAAAACATTGACTTGTTTGATCTTTGTAATAAATTACCTTTTTAACAAGATTGGCTGCCATATATCCTCCCATATTCCCGAGGCCGAGGAACGCGACATTTTTATCAGCTTTCGAACTGAATCCTCTTTTTGACAACGTTAACAAACACCGGGTTGACACTCCAGTCGCCATCTTGGATTGTTTTATTTTTAAAACGCGTGCGACGCCGGCGCGAACGCAATACAACTGGTTCAGCCGGCCCCGGCCTACAAAACCAGAAATCAGAATATGCTGTTCGTTATATTTGTTCTGATAACGTTAATTTTACTCGAAAAGAGTAAATACGAAAATATTTGTCATGTAACGCTGATGATGTTGATTAAACACTTAGTGTAACTTTAGTATAATAAATCTACACTAAGGGATCGCTTTAGTAACCACTGAATGCAACCACACAGATATGATATTATTCTATACTAATTAGTTTTTTTTTTGTAAACGATATTGTAAATTGCCGCCAAATCCGCCAAAAGTATGCTTTTGTGCCTTTGTGATCACATAAATACTATTGATTAGTAGATATTATTGATTTTTTCCAAAAGAATATACAATTTAAAAACACATCTGACATTGATAGATGGTAATCTATCTAGATTTGTGGGCCTAAGCTTTCGAAGACCATCAATCCTGTTCAGATGACAAAAATATTAAATTTATTATATAATATTATGA